CGGAGACAGGAGCCGGACTGGGTGAGGGGGCGGCCTGAGTAGGCTGAGGGAGATGAGCGGAGAGGGCAGAGATGAGTGACGAAAGATCGAAGGAGGGAGGGACAACAGGATTGGAGGCGGGAAGAGGAGGGGAATCTGGAACAGGGACAGAAGAGGTGATGGGGAGAGGAGAGGGAGATGCAGGAGTAGGGGGAATAGCAACAAAGATAGCGGAAAGGAGTGACGAAAGATCGAAGGAGGGAGGGACAACGGGATTAGAGGCGGGAAGAGGAGAGGAATCTGGAACGGGGACAGAAGAGGTGATGGGGAGAGGAGAGGGAGGTGCAGGAGTAGGGGGAATAGCAACAGAGAGAGCGGAAAGGAGTGACGAAAGATCGAAGGAGGGAGGGACAACAGGATTAGAGGTGGGAAGAGGTGAGGAATCTGGAACTGGGACAGAGGGAGTGGTAGGAAGAGGGGAGGGAGGTGCAAGAGTAGAGGGAATAGCAAGGGAAGAGGGGGATATGGCAGAGGGAGATGCGATGGGGGGAACAACGGGTGAACGCGGGAGGGAAACAGGAGCAGAAGGAACGACAGGGAGAGGAACTAGAGGGGCGTCAGGGAAGGCAACACGTAAAGGTGGGAGTGGAGCAGGAATAGGAAGAATGACAGGGGAAGATGGGAGAGGGGTGATGTCGGAAGAAGTAATGGAGGAAGGTAGCAGAGGGATGGCATCAGTAGCGACAAGGGAAGGTGGAAGAGGGACGGGATCAGAGGGAAGTGGGAGGGGGACCGGAATAATGGGAATTGTAGAGGTAGGCGGGAGAGGGACGGGCTAGTAATGGGATCCGTCCGCCCCAAGGACGGGGTACAGAGGGGTGGGGACAGAAGGGCCTATGCTAATTGGAGGTGGCAACAGGGCAGTGACTGGAGAGGCGGGACGAGGGGAACATCAAGAGACGAATCATCATTACAAACATTTCTGTGATATACATGAATCGTTTGTCCTTCAAAATCTAGTTGTTCCTCTGACCAATCCTCCCGCTTGAGTCCTCTTGCTACCCGATTCCAAACCTCCGTGGCTTTCGTCAACCCATTATCCAATATCAAGCCCTCTTTATCAATAGGCAATTTCCTCCAAAACTCTGGCTGTAATCTACTACTGGGTGACTGTCATGCCAAAAGCATGAGTTGGTGTTTGATGCATTGAGATATGTTAAGAGTTGTTTTTTTGTAAACCTTGGGATGACATTTATTGTGCTCTTTGATCTTGCACCAGGCCTAGACCATAAAACATCTAGACAGCCATCACCAGAGCTGGACACAAGGAATCGCATAGAATGGGCAATAAACTGCCAGACCAACCCCCTCTGATCCCCCCCCAGGGGTCTGCCCACTGAGAAACAACTAGTTTAGATATATACTGAGGGTGCTGGACTATCCGGGGAGTTATTCATTTTTCTTTTGTCAGCAACTTCTAGGAGACCTATACCAACACTCCCACAAGAATTCTATATGGGGTAACTACATGTAAGGAATTTCTTGTGTTTTCTCCTATTTTATTTTATGTACTGTTTTGCAATTTGTTATCTGTATGTCATTTATTTCTGTATTTTGTACTCAGCACTGTGAATCCTTTTTGTCAGATTAAATGTTTACTTAATCAGCTTGTGTCTCTCTCCAGAGGAAAGCTCAGGTAAACACGTTACCAAAAAGGGTTAACTATATATGTTTTATCAGTAAAAGTAGAACTGTGATACTATAATTCTCCTGTGTGTGGGGTAACCTAAGACTTGGTGGTGGCAGTAAAGTGTGTACTAAGGGGGTTAGTGTAGAAGGGATTGCAGGGGTTAATTGAGTGGTTGCTGTGACTAGCAACAGATAACCAGGGGTCTGGTGTCATTATCCCTGTCACTTCCACACTCTCCCCACTGTCTTGGCTGGGCCTGTAGCCCACGCTCGTGACAGTGACATTTGAAAACCACAAATCTTTTGTAAAGGACCGTTTTGCTCACCAGAGGTTAGAAACCGTTTAGGCGATATTCCCCTTTCCAGATACACCGACAGCTGCTGTAAGCACCGATCTCCTGAACTGGAAACACATGAACACTGGAAATATCCGAACAGGAAAACCATACGAAAGGGTTACACTCCTGGCAATAAGTACACAATCCAATTCCCCCAATAACGAGACGACACTTCGTTTTGAGGTCAAGCAGAACCTGCCTGTACTGGCATATACAGCCTCTTTTATTACCAATCCACAAACATAGTACTGCCCACAGGGTTTTACAGAACAACCAATCAATCCGTACAATACACACAGACACTCCCACACAAAATCCTCCCCTCTGCCTATGATATGATTACTGAACACAATGGGTGATATAATTATCACAGGCAGAGAAATACAATTTTTCCACATTATTCATAACTTTGAAAGTATGCATCACATTCACATACATTTTCTGAATCAGCATACTCCAAATACAAACATATGTCAAAATCATGCAAATTGGTCCATTGGTTCAAAAGATAGATCGAAGTCCTTTGTGACAAATGAAGCATGGCTTTTCTGCCCAAAACCAGTTCCACAGAGTCTTCTATCCTGGAGATAATTGAGAAGTAATCCAATTATCTCCAAGGACAGAGGCAAAACTCCATTAAGCACATGGCAGTAAAAAGACAGTAAAATACAATAAAATACACAGTAAAATACAATAAAATACCTTTATTACATAAAATACAGACATTCTACCTATCCCCAGATAGCTTAGATCTGAGCGCACATTATTACCGGATGGCGCTCAGATCACATACATACAGTTCAATCGCCATGGAGCCAAAGTCTTTCATACAGTCTTTCAGTATACGGCTGGGCTCCATGCAAGGCCGGACTGGGAATTAAAAGCAGCCCTGGAAAAAAAATATTTACCAGCCCCATAATGTGTCGCGCCAGCATAGTGTGCAGATACAGTGTTAGAACAGATAACTTAAAATTAAAAAGTACTTCAACGTAAAAAGCGCACTCATAGGCTTCAAAATAAACAAAAGTGCAGATTTATTTTAAGCAGACGTGCCTTTGCATGTAATCAATGTTTCAGTCCAACTACCTTGACATATTAAGGAAAGCTTGTTAATAGGACTGAAATGGTGAATGTATGTAGGGCACAACTGTAAAAAATTTTTATTTTGAAGTCCTGTGGGTGTGCTCTTCACTTTAAATATGTTATTGTGCTGGAGTATGCACCTAGCAACAAGACTGGGCCAATATCTGCTCATTACATATGGTACATATTAATGAAATTTCTCTGTGTATTATGTATATATAAATGTACATTAATATGTGTAAATATAATATATATATTTATATATAGATAGATATATATATATATATATATATAACTAATATACACATTAACATACATGTCATATACCAGTGACGGATCCAGAGCCTGAGCCTGGGAGGGGCACTTGTAGATTATTTAAAGAAATATTCCATGCACAATAACCACTACTCCTCTGTGTAGTGGTTATGGTGCCAGGAGTGTCGGCACACCCTCCCAGAGTAAGTAGTCAAACCGTTTAAGAACAGTTTGACAACTTACCTGGAGTCTGCTGGGATATGGAGCTGTAGTAGGGTATAGGAGCAGTGGTGCAATGTGTGTGAAAGGTTCAGTGTGTGGGTGTGGGGGGCAGTGTGTGAAAGGTTCAGTGTGTGGGTGTGGGGGGCAGTGTGTGAATGTGTATGGTGTGTGTGTGTGGGGGCAGTGTGTGAATGTGTATGGTGTGTGTGTGTGTGTGGGCAGTGTGTGTATGGGGCTAGAGTTCACTCCTACTACTGCGACCACCAGGAAGTGGTGAGAGTGAACTCTAGCCCGTAGCTCCAGGGCTAGAGTTCACCCTCGTGAGAGCCAAAGCGTTGTCCCGGGTCCTCTCTTTCTCCCCCTCACAGCTCCTCTGTGTCAATGTCTCCCCTCTCCTTTCCAGTCTCTCTCTTCCCCCTCTGCCTTTTTCTTCCCCTCCCCTTGTGTGTCTCTCTCATTTCTCCCTCTTTGTCTCTCTCTTCCCCCTCTGCCTCTTTCTTCCCCTCCCCTTGTGTGTCTCTCTCATTTCTCCCTCTTTGTCTCTCTCTTCCCCCTCTGCCTCTTTCACCCCCTTTCCTGTGTCTCTCCCTCCTCCCCATCTCTCTCCCTCCCCCCTTTCCCTGTGTCTCTCCCTCCTCCCCATCTCTCTCCCTCCCCCTTTCCCTGTCTCTCCCTCCAACCCATCTCTCCCCCCTTTCCCTGTGTCTCTCCACTCTCCCCATCTCTCTTCCTCCAACCCATCTCTCCCCCCTTTCCCTGTGTCTCTCCCCTCTCCCCATCTCTCTTCATCCCTGTGTCTCTCTTCATCCCTGTGTCTCTCTCCCTCCTCCCTTTCCCTGTGTCTCTCCCCTCTCCCCATCTCTCTCCCTCTCCCCTTTCCCTCTCCCT